AGACCCTAACGAATCTCTTAGATCTCAATAATGAAGCTTCATCATTCAGCAGAGGGGCAGGAACACAAAAGGTGACAAAAAGTCAAAGTATAGAGATCAAGAGTTGGCTGATTGCTCTTGGTTGGGCAGGATCCCTTAATTAAACTCAAATTACCTATTTTTGACATTTATTTGGGTTGTTGAAAGTGTTGGTATAAAAGCCAATACAGTATTCATTTTCACTTTTTGGTGAAGTGGTTAGAAACATTTCCCAAAATACTTACATATTTTAAAAGACTATTAAATATTTACTCTTATTTCTATCTTCTTTGTGCTCATGATGCTTATAGATAAAACTCTGGAAATTTCAGTAGTATAAATATCACTATGATTTGACTTCTGAAACAAAATGTACTCATTGACACCACATCATGGGGTTTGAGAGTCAAAGCAGACAAAATAGATAATGGGCAAAATTTACAATCTATAAAACTATGGGGTAAGAAGTCTGCACTGCCTTATGTATTAAGATTCTATCTGGGTGTTAGAAAACATTAAAGAAATTGAAATGGATGAAATTTGATATATTACCATAGTGTGTTAGTATGTACATGCCTGTGTCCTATAGAAACTCTATCTTTATCTCTGAGGAAAAACTCCTCTCAGAATAAATAAGGCTCTATTATTTATTCTCAGTCTAGGTAAGGAAAGTCAAGTTTATAATATGGATAAGGCCTAAGTATATGGGTCTGATAACCTGTCCCAGTTATACAAACAAGGGGAATTAGATCCATTTTTACTTACTTTTCCCTCCAATAATTTCACATAACCAGATTCCTGCCCAAATTTATTGAGTTTAATTTGAGGAAGTCACTTTCAGTGAACACCACAAAAACAAACAAAAAAACAAACAAACAAACCAAACATCAACTCAGCATTATACAGGTGCTGACTCTGAGTTTTCTGTCACTGACCAATTTTTTATTGTTTTAATACAATTCTTTATGAATTGACTTTATGCAATGTGGTAAGTCCTCTAAAAATACAAAAAAGCAATATTTTCTTGTTCAATTAGATGTAAATTCAAAATTACATACATAAATAATGGTAATAAATCAGTGATCAGACAACTTCAGAGATATAAATATTCAAAATTGGATTGATAAGGTTAAAACCATAGTTTTCTTTCTTTTCAAATATTCTATTTATTATTGCTATTATTTTCTGTGTGAGGGTGCATTACCTTCATGTATTTAAGTGCACCGATGTCATGCAATACCCTGGAACAGACAGTTGCTAGTTGTCATGTACGTGCAGGGTACTGAACCCAGGTCTAATACAAAAATAACCAGTATTCTTAGCCATTGAGCCATCTCTCCAGACCATATAGTTTTGTTCCCGTGGAGACAGGCTTTCCTAGGTGTAGCTGTTCTAAGGCATTGTGTTGAATGTGTTATTGTTATTGTTTTATTTATGTGTACACCAGTGAACTAATATTTATTAAGTAGGAATTCATCCTACTTACAAGATGTTTTGTTTTATATTGTTACAAAATAAACCCAAAATTTACCTTTAAAACACATGGGAACATATGCACCTATATAAGATCAAACTTACTCATATATATATATATATATGATCAAACTTACTGCATATATATATATGCATATATAGTTGCAAAGACCTCATGAGAGTATGTATAAGACCTTGAAAATCCAAGCTAGACAGGTGCCCAACATGGATGAGGTTGATTGGCAAAAAGGTTTACCTCTAGCTTTATAAATATACATGCAAAACGTTTGAACCTATTCTGTTTCTTCAAAAGAAAGTTTCACTGATAGAAATTGAAAATAAACTTTTTTAAATATTTTATTGATTTGAAATTTTTATAAAATAAATCTTGACCATATTGAGATCGCCCCCCCTTCTGCAGCTTCACCTAAATACTGACCCTACTTCATGCCATGTATTATTTTTTATACATCGACTGAGTTTAATCTCTTTCTGGGTTGCTCTTGGATGTGGGTCTATCCAATGGAGTCTGATTAACCTACCAGACATCAAGCCAATGAGGAAAACTGACTCTCCCTCTCCCAGCATCTATCAGTTGCCAAAGGATCCTCAGCTACAGGTGAAACTTTTTGCCAGTCAACCCCATCTATGCTGGGCGCTGGTCTAGCTTGGATTTTCAAAGGTCTTGTGCATACTCTCATCATGTCTTTGCAACTACTCTGTTGTGCCCAGAAAATAAAGTTCTGTCTTCACCTGTGTTTTAACTTAATGACAGATGTAATAAAACCTACACACGTGGGAAGAAGATGACTGTATAATTATGACTTGACCTTGAGCAGGTCTTGTGCATGCTGTTGGAGTTGTTGTGGGTTCATGTATGCAAATGCCCTATGTCTGGAATACACTCCTACCCTGTAGTTATCCACCACCACTGGTTCTTAAAATCTCCTCCCTGATTCCATCTGCAAAGATCCCTGAACACTAGAGTGAAGGATATGGCAGACATAGACGTCCCATGTGGGGTTGAGTGCTCTAAAGGATAAAATAGGAACATTGAGTGGGTAGAAGGTGGCAAGAGACCTCAACCCTACCTGGAGAGGTACTCATATTTGGAAGGTGCTGGAAGGTGCTGGGACATAAATAATCCATATTCTCTGAGTGTGACTTATAGTAAATAAACCAATATTAAGGACAGTTTCCATACCAAGAAGTATTTGGTCTACACATGTTGAACTCACAAGAAAAGAAATGTACATGGAAAAGGGTGGGTAGTGAGGTAAGGGTGGGTCTGGGAAGAGTTAGTTAGCAGAGGGAAAATTGTGAACAAAATACATTTTACAAGTTCTTAAATATTTAATAAAATCATATTTTAAGGTGCATCAACTGAGAGAAATGTATCAGAAACAAAATAAAAATGTAAAAGCTAACAGTTTACAAGTCTCTGTTTACCCAATTTAGCAATTTCTTTGGTTAAACATTGGCCTAATACTGCAGATGCAGAAATGAAAATAATAGTTTTGAATTCTTCCCAAAACTTGAAGGTAAGACCCTACTGATGAAAACTGGACATACTTTAGACACAGGACATGGAACAATGGAACTTGAACTGACTTCAAAGCCTCCTTCCTAAAGACTACTTTTCATAGTTCTGGAGGACACTATGCAAGGTATTACGGGTAGAAATCAATCAATGGACCAACCCCAGCTTAAAAGCCTAAAAACTACAACGATGGCCAACAAATATAGCAGTGCAGTAGTGGCACTTTTATCTTTGTGGTATTCTACAGCTACATTGATGGATTTAAAGCCATCTCAATGGGAGGGGACTCAGGTGTGGTACTGTAATATACCAAAATACACATGGCTGGAGAGTATATAGATCCTAGATGAAACTCTCTCTTTTTTTCTCCCTAGATGAATGTATTCTTATTCTGTGCTATATACAGCACGTTATATTTACAGAAATGCATACCATTCGCAACTCATCAAGGAAGTTTCTTTGAGAAAGAGATAGGGAAAAGTACAGAGTTTCAAAAGATGCTAAACGTAGAGAATTCTTGTGTGAGTGATGCCCAGTCATAAGTGATACATCTATAGTGGCAGCTCTATATCTAAGGCTAATGGGATATTATATAGAGTACAGAGAATACTAATGCATCCCTCAACTCTCTTCAGCAAAGCTTAATCATGCAACAAAATATCACAACTTGCCAAGGGTAGAGAATAAAATCTTGGAGAGTGTTGGTCCCCAGATAGGATTCCAGTATTAAACCTACCCACCCATGATGCAGGAAACATTGCAGAAGACGGTGCAAAGGTTATGACCACCAGGGTTGGTGCATGATCATAAGGAAACTTAGGCTTCCAGGTCATATAAACTTCATATGAATTTCCTGTTAATGCTCACAGCTTGCATGATACCCATGCAAACTCAATCAGAAAGACGAAAAAAAAAATCCCAGCATACAACTGGGGAAATGGGCAGCGTTCACTAAGGAATTATTGGAAGCTGATTACTGGTGGGTTAGGTAGAGTCAATATTCTTTAAAGGAGGGACATTAGACAGACTGACTAGATTCCCACGTATAATTCATACCAAGGGACATCTGAATACTCAAACTTGACTTGAGAGGTCTTACATATATGACAAAATATATGAACTCCGTTGTGGGGGCCTACGAGGAATGTATGTAGGGGCCTAATTATGATTAAGATATATTTTTTTGTTTGTTCCAAGGGGCACATATTCCTCTGAGGGCTGGGGCTGCTGCCTATAATTGGCTTCAGAGAGTTAGCTATAGAGAGGGAGCTGCCCAGAGTTAGCCACAGAGGAGTGTGGGGACCATCTCAGACAGGACCAGTGGTGTGAAATAAATGTCCTGGTGTTTCCCCTGAAAGAGGGGACATATACAGACCTAGGGCTAGACTGCGGGCCCAGGAGGATTGGTTGAAAGTTTATGAAGACTGTGGGCTGAGCACAGAAGCGATCTGGATTGGTGGGCTGCTGAGCCACAGAGTGGAGTGGGGCTCCAGATGTGGGGCGCAGGCTGTGCCAAGTGTGGACCACCGGGTGTTCAACTTTGTAATTTACTCTATTTCCCCTACCTTGGATATAAACTATGAATCATGCAGATAAAGATGTATTATGTGGTTTATCTAATAGTGCCAGAAGTACGGGACCCTAGGAAAACTGAGGCAACAGTATGAAATGCACTAAATTCAATAAAAATATATATATTGAAAAAAAGGAATAAATTAATCTTGGGCCACAAGGCAAAATATCCCTGGCTCTGTGACATTCAGCTTCCTTTCATTGTTTATCACCTCTTTAAAATTTTGTGATTAATTATTAAGAGGTAAGAGTATTCTCAGAAATCTTTAACTCACTCAAAAAATATCCTTTGATACAGCGTTATCACAATATTGTCATGATTGGAGCAAATAAAGGGAGAGAGTCTGGAACGTTTAGTCATAATTTGACTATGAGGATATTTTATGATTGTGTTTTGTTATGTTAGCAACTTAGCTGGCAGTTTTCTCAGTGCTGCAGAGATCTCCTTGTTCCTCAAAGTGTATATAATTGGATTCAACAGCGGAATTAAAACCGAGTAGAAAAGAGACACTAATTTTCCAATTCCTTCAGATGCGTTTGCTTTGGGTTGTATGTAAGTAATAGCAGCTGTTCCATAGAACAAGACCACAACCATCAGATGAGAGGAGCAGGTGGAGAAGGCTTTCGACCTCCCACCAGTTGATGACAGTTTCAGAATGCTGCAGATAATTTTTCCATAGGAGACAATTATCAACAGAAACGGAATCGTGATAGTAACTGCAGAAACAGTAAAGATTGCTAAATTGTTCACAAATGTGTCTCCACAAGCAAGACTGAGTATAGGTGGAATATCACAGAAGAAATGATTAATTCTGTTAGATCCACAAAAGGGCAATGAGAAAATCAGGTACGTCTGTCCAGTCACAACTGGAATGACACTGGCCCAGCAGGCAGCCAGCAGCTGTACACACACCCTGTGGTTCATCATCAGAGCATAGAGCAAAGGCTTACAAATGGCCACATAGCGGTCATAGGCCATCACTGTTAGGAGGAAGCACTCACTAGCTGCAAATAGAAGAAAAAACCACATTTGTATTGCACAATTTAGCAAAGAGATGTTTCCTTTTTGAGCACAAATGTCCACGAGCATTCTTGGGATAGTGACTGTCACGTAACAGATTTCCACAAAAGAAAACTTGTTGAGGAAAAAATACATCGCAGTCTGAAGAGCAGGGTCAATTCTTGTTACTAGAATTACAATGCTGTTGCACATCACAATACACAAGTACACAAGGAAAAATATCCCAAAGAGAATCCACTTCAGATGGGGAACATCAGAAAACCCCAGGAGAATAAACTCTGTCGTTGTTGTGATATTTGATTTTTCTGTTTTAATATTCCTTCCATCTGCAGACATGATAAATTCAGCATGCTTTATTCATTCATTTTTTTAAATACATTGACTTTTGTGTTGACTCAAAAAATGCATAAATATGCTTCTATTTGTTCTTAAATTACTATTCCCCATTACTTTGGTTTGTTTCTGATGTGATTTTTATCATTAAAAATAACTAACATGTATTTAAAATTAATTCAGTAAATAAATTTTATTTTACCTTCTTGCTTTCCAAATGTTATTGTTAATCCTTCATTACCAATAGAAGAACACTGTGAGGATGCAATATTTTCTCATTTTTTCAGTGGGACTTGTTAAATATGTGACTTTGTTTTTTCTTGGCATATTGTTTGTTATTATAACCATCAATTTCCAACACTTTTTCAATCTAAAATCTTCACTTGCAAACTTCAGTAACACATGCACTTAAATCAGTTTCTCTTAGCAAGGAAATGAATGCATGCATTATCTTTGCTCTTCTTAGATCTCACACAATATATGGAAATAAGAACTGACGATTAACTCCAAAATCATCTCCCAACAATTTTCACAAATATCAATTGTATTCAAATATAAATTAATTTAATTTTCAAAAGACAACTAACTCCTCACAGAACATTGACATATTTCCTAAGGAATGAGAGTTTGTATTTTGTTACATAATTCACCTTTACTCCAATATGGTTTCCTTACTCTATTATATAATGAAATATGGAAATATCGAATCTCTATTTCCTCATTCTGTCTGTGTAAGTTAGTAGAACATCTTGAAATGATAAAAATACAAGAAACAATAACTGAACTTTCTTCTTCATTATTTAACATCAACTTTTATGAATAAATCAAATTATTTGAATGCTCATCAAACTTTCTTAACGCTTATGTAAGTTCTCAAGACAAATATTCATGTTTCCCTAATTTCTCAAGTGCCTGTCACCTATACCACATCTTACCCCAACATTTTATGATTTGGGTGAATAAATGTAATAAACCACACTCTTCTATGTTCAAATTTCTCTTTGTGTTCCATTTCAATGCTATATGAAATAAATGATGTTATTATTGATACAGTTGTCCCTGTTTGAGATATGATTGGCCCTGCTCAGCATTATGGACATTTATAGACCATTATTTGACATATATCTAATTATTATTAATAATAAGGTTTTGGGTGTATGAGCAATAGAGAGTAAGTAGCTTACTTTAAAATAAAAAAGCTCAAAATATCTGTTTTTCTGTATTATCAAATGATATTAAACTTTGAATTTAGATCATTTCTTACCTGAAGTATTGAAACAACACAGTATGGCTTACCTGTGAAGATTTTCATGAAACACTCTACTGGAGGGAAGTTAAGTTCGTAATCCCTCTCATAAATATTCTCTACTTTTTCTCAGGATTTCCCAGTAATTTCACAATAATAATATTTGCACAAATATTCAACTGCTTTAAATAGGGACAGAAACACACATGTACCCTAGGGCCATATTCTCTTGTGTATCCACTAATTAAGAAAAAAAAAATATTTCTAATTAGTTTCTGAGGATCTTTAATTGATCAAATTTGTGTTTCATAATTATTATTTTCTCTGGAGGTTCTTAGCTAAGCATGAGTTTTAAATTTTTACTCTTTGTATTGTAGACAATAAACAGTTTAAGCATGAAAAACTCAAGTTTCACATATACATGTTTGATACATGGTTTATATATCATTTCTCTATATGAACATAATCTTTTCATTTTTCTCCGATTTTCAACGACTGTTTATGTTATTAAACCTTCTTAAATGTCTCTCACCTCCACTGAATTGATTTCATTTCTACATCTATTGATGCGACGGTCATGTGATTATTTTTCATTTTTATATGAAATAAAAAATTCGCTTAAGTTAAATAAGTCACACTCCATAATTATTATCAAAATTATTGTAGTAAATTTAGTTAAGATATGAATTTGAAATACATATATCTATGTTACTATTTATGTTAACACAGGCATATAATTTATGTACATATATACATATACATAAATATGTGT